CCTGCCTAGGCAGGGGGTTGGACTAGAAGACCTCCAAGGTCCCTTCCAACTCTATTTCTAAACTAAAAAGAAAACTTTTTAGTAGACCAACAAGATTTGTCAAGGGCTTAATTCCAACTAAAGTATAGTGCTGTTAAAATTAATTCATGATTAACTCATGGCTTTATGGTAAAATTGATGGCGCAATTAGACAAGCCAAGAGAGCAGATTTAGTTCCTCCAAGAAAATATTGCAAGAAATACATTTCATGCGCAAAATCTGCATGGAAACATTATTTGTCCTCTTCCCACTGTCCTCTTTCATTCTTAACACCTTCCTTTTCTGCTCTGCTTTGCGGCAACTAACTTTCTTATGACCAGACCTCTCCCTGTCATACCTTGATCAGGTTATGTCCTACCACGTAGGCGGCAGCTACACGCCTCTTTCCGGGCGCATGAAGCCCCGTGCCGTACCCGTGCCAAGCGATGAGATAAGGGTTGTGCATTGTAATCCAGTACTTCACACGGTCTCCGAAGGCTTGGAAGCAAAAAGTGGCGTAATCGTTGAAAACGTCCACGAGGGAGTCGCTTTCCCAGCCTCCGTACCTTTCTTGCAATTCCCACGGCAGGTCCCAGTGGTAGAGAGTGACGATGGGCTCGATGCCCTTGCGGACGAGAGCATCGAGGAGACGGTTGTAGTAGCCGAGTCCTTTCTGGTTGACGGCCGCCACCATCCCGCTAGGAAACAGCCTTGGCCACGAAATGGAAAAGTGGTACGAAGAAACATTAAAAAAACTCAGAGCAGCTAAATCTTTTTCCAGGGAGGTGTAGCTGTCACCCCAGTCCTCTGTCCTGTAAGGGTACCTGAGGCTGGAGCGGAGGAAGTGCTCCCATATCGAAGGACCTCTCCCGTCCTTCTGCTGGCTCCCCTCCACCTGAAAGGCACTGGTTCCCACTCCCCAGAGGAAACTGGGAGGGAAGGTGTCGTGCAGAAAGAGCTGGGTTTCGTTCACGGGACTTAAGTGGGGATCCTTTTCCCAGAAAGAAATCCCATCCCTGCGAAATCCGGAAAGGGAGTGGATGAAAACGAAAGCCCATAAAGCCATGGGACCCTTCAGGTGCCAGCCAGCCATCCTATACCTGCAGAGCGGATGCTAAAAGTCACATTTCTTCTTAAAGGCTGCCAAAAATTGATTCCTGGATTCCTGCTGCATACCTTGTCTCGTTCGCTCCTGGGTCCTTGCAGTGTCTTGTCTTATCAACGCTCCGGTAAAAAATACGCTTGTGATACCAGAAGTCCTGTTAATTATTAGCCTGGACTCCAGGACTTAGGATCGGTCGTCAGAGGCAAGGCAATCCTCTTGTTTGCTCTGCTTGTTACGGCCGCTGGGGAACGCTGGTGGGGTATCTGATCCTGAACGCCTTTCCCGATTTATAGCTGTGAATCAGAGCTCCAGCTTGTCAGAGGACGCTAGCTGTTGATTTGATTATTTTTAAAGGGGATGGAAAGTAATTGTATTTGAGACACAATGGCCTCAAGTAAGCAATCAGATGCCACTTTTTAACTTACGCTCAGCCAGAGGAAAAAAGGGCAGAGCGAAAGCGGCAACGGATAACAACAATTTTAAAAAGCCACGTCTTCAGCTCTTGAGGCTCATCATGTACGAGAAACACTCGTACTTCAGCCAGCAGCTGTTCGTATCTCTGGATGTTGGAAATGTTTGTGACCTTGGCAACATCTACACAAAAGCAGATGAGTTTCGGTATCGTCAGGATGCTGTAAATTGGCTTGAATGTATGCATGTACCCAAAAACAAGTCGCTCCTCATCCCCCCCCCCAGTCCTCAGATGAAGCAGAAAAATTGTTCTTTTAAATCTGACATCAGGCTAATCCTTGGGACATTTTCTCTCTTTTGTAAGTGATGTTATTGTTTTTTGGGATATACATTTACTATTTATTTGTGAAATATAGGATANATAAATAGTATAAAGAATAATCCCTACGCAAGTAATTAAGAAAAAAGAAAAAGAAAGAAAAAGAAAAACTAGCTGTATATGTTCCCGCATTGAGTGATTGTGGTTGTGTTTAAGAGGCTGACAGCCCAAGGATAGAAACTATTTAGAGTCATTATATAGCCTCCAATAATCTGGCGCCCAATTTTACTGACCTCAGAAAGATGAAAGGCTGATCAATCTTGAGCTGGTCAGAATCGAACTCCTGGCAGTGGGAAGAGTCAGCCTGCAATACTGTATTTTAACCATTGTGCTACCATAGCTCCTGCGTGGGGGAGACACTGAGGAACTTGAAGAGCAACATAAAGCAACAAAGGTGGTGAGGAACTTCGTGGTTAAATCCTATGAAGAACATTAAAAGAGTTAGACATTTAGGTCTAAAGAAGAAGTGGCTAAAAAGAGATTTGATGGAAGATTTCCAATACTTGGACAGGAAATAAGGTAGATTGGTTTTCCATAGCTCCTGAGGACACAAGCCAATGGGTATAGTTTTCACAGAGAGATCCAAACTCAAAATGAGGAGGAATTGTCTGTCTGTGACAGCTATTATATGAAATCGTCAGACTCCTAGATAGCATTGGAGGTTTGTCCAAGATACATGGTTTCGCAGTGGTTAGAATGCAGGATTGCAGCCTGACTGCCTACTGCCAGCAGTTCGATGCTGACCGGCTCAGGTTTGACTCAGCCTTCCCTCCTTCTGAGGTTGTTAAAATGAGAAGCCAGATTGTTAGGGGTAATATGCAGACTCTGTAAACCGCTTAGGTAAAGTAAAGGTTCCCCTCGCCCATCTGTGCTAGTTGTTCCCAACTCTAGGGGGCGGTGCTCATCTCCGTTTCAAAGCCAAAGGGCCAGCTCTGTCCGAATACATCTCTGCGGTCATGTGGCTGGCATGACTATATGTCGGAGGTGCATGGAACGTTGTTATCTTCCCACCAAAGGTGGTTCCTATTTTTCTACTTGCATTTTTACATGCTTTCGAACTGCTAGGTTGGCAGAAGCTGGGACAAGTAATGGGAGCTCACTCCATTACACGGCACTAGGGATTCAAACCACAGAACTGCCAACCTTTCTGATCAACAAGCTCAGTATCTTAGCCACTGAGCCACCATATCCCTTCTTCTATTCTACTGGAGTGCAAAAGAATAATATCCAAGTGGGTATTCTCTGCTAAGAGCCTAGCGGTGAAGGTGCTTGTCTCCCACTCAGAAGGTTGAGAGTTCAATCCTAGGTAGCAGCCAATGGGCCTCAGGGGGGAACGCTGCCCCCCCCTCATGCCCTCCTGCCCCCCTGCACATGCATGGCAGAGACCCGAAAATCAACTAACTGGCAAGAGGCATGCACACATGCATCGTGGAGCTGAGCTGGGATGAC